AATAAGGATGAGACATTTTGGAAATTGTCCAAACATTTAGAAAAACCAATGGATTAAATGTGAGAGAGAGAGACAGACGTTTCTGAACAGTTCAGGGCATTTTAGGAGCTGTAAGGAACGTATCAGCTGTTAAACAGAAGCCCTTATTGTGAGCAGCTGACATGATGTTACGTCTCCATTGTTCTCAACGATTCCAATACATCAACTTGTGTATCGAGTACTGAGTACCTATCAAACACTCGTGTGTTAAAAACAAATACCCATATCATTTAAACAGCTGTGCACTATTAGCTGTGTATGGATGTGACATAAGTGCTATCATTGTTGTCTTGCTCAGGTTAAACCTTGTGTTAAACATACATAGAGCTTTCCTCTATGATCTAGTGCGATTGTTAAATGATTGACACATCTTGACTGTCTCGGTCAGACAGCACTATCATGGCTTTGACTTTTTTCTTGGATTTGGAAATTAGCCCTCTTACAGAAATGTGTGAGTTGTGACATGTTGAAGTGAATTTAATTGATAGTTGCTGTGGGTGGGAACTTGAAATGCATCCCCTCCTACAGGCTGAGGGTTTTCCTTCTTTATATTAACTGACTTCAACTCCACACAGACTCAGTTGGGTTAAATGTGTGTCTAGCAGACACTCATCAAACTGACTTCAGCCTGGAGTCTGAGACTAAGCAGTCCTTTCCCAGTACGTGTTCATGGAGCAGTCTTCACCCCAGGCCTCTGCTACAGTAAATAGGAGCCCTGCTGTAAAGCTGGTATAGACGGGCTCTCCACTCAATGGAAGGCTGTCCAGCAAAATGGACATTCAAAACGCATACAAACTAAACAATGTCCAAAGTATTCAGTATTTTTTCTTACAGTCAAAAAGAAGGGGTCTTGTCTTTACTGCTCAGAGGAAGTGATGTCATGCGTCTGTCTGGAGCGTGAATGTGGCCCTCACTGAGTGGGTTCAGTCCACACATGCAGGGACATTCCCCCTCACACACTTTATGAGCACACGCGCTGCCAGAACGGGCAGAATGTTCTGCACGCTGGTTTCAGGATCCTGCTCCAGTTTTCACCCAAAGGCCCAATGTGACCAGACCCTCCACAGACCTGAGCATTACATTCAGCTCAACAGACGAAACACTGAGTCCTAGAGAATGAATGAGTTATGTATCTACTTTCAGACGATGTTTGTAGTGCAGGTCAAAAACAACAAACCGGGGGGGGGGGGGTTTAAGGTCAAGGCTTTAATCTGAATGAATGGAATTCCAGCGCTGAGTTCAAGGCTCAACCGGAGTCAGCCTGGAGTAAACAAGTGGTGCGGCCCCTTCATCTGTTATTACACTGATTAGAGCACAAGGGCCCCACAACGCACCAATAGGAAGCCAGTATTCTCTATACCACTTAACATTTATAAAGTAGGGACAGCAAACAGTAAAACATGCAGCAAAATAAATACTTGTATTCATATTTGTAATATTCATGACATTTAACTATTTCTGTTACAGTCAGAAGCAGAACCAGAGAACTGGATTCAAGTGAAGGCCTTTACTGCCAAAGCAGGGTGGTGTGCTGTTTAAATGCATGTTTTAGAGCTGTGCCCACACTAACATCAGCTGTAAGTTAAAGTAGAGATGACGTCTGTGTCTCTTTAAGGGACTCACAATACAAGACCTGAACGTTGAAGGCCAACGGATCTGTGGTGGGAAACCAAACCAGGACCGCAGCTGCTCTGCTTTGCATAGCAGGACTTGAGGGGGGACATGTTAGTCTCAATAACATTTCAGATTAAAATTCTGTAAAGTATCTGATAAAAGATGAACTATAAATGTGTTTGTTTGGGCACAGTAATAAAGCTTTGAATCTATTATGTCACATTAAGCTGATGTTTAAATGCAAAGTATCTAAATGACCAAAACATATAAGGTGACCAGGGCAAGTAGGCAAGTAGGGCTGGACTCTGTGGAATGGGGGGGATGTGGGATAAATAAAAGGGTTTCCATGGGCCAGGGATCGGAAACCAAAAGAGGGAATTTTGTAACAAAAAAGCCACCTGACAAAAATTGCAAAATTAAGTCCTCTTTTAAAAGTTTCAACTTGAGACGTCCAGGATGTGTGAAGCAGTCTGTCCCGTCAGCCTGTTCCACTGATGTTAGCTCACGCCACTACAGTGCACAGCTCAAACCATCAACAGCACTCAGACATGATCAACCAGAAATGTGTCCACAGCTGGCCATCACCAGAGATAGATAAACCCTAATCATATCATCTAGAAATATTATGCAAGAGGGAGAAAGAATTTGATCCAAGGTGACCGTGGTGCACATGAACGTGTGTCAGCTGACCAGCCCACTGCAATCACACTGCTGCTGAGATTAATGTACCCTTTCATGTTGTTCTGTAGAAGCTAATCTCAGTCACAATGTCAGCTCATGCAATGCAAAGCCACACACACACACAACTGGTATAACAGGAGGTTGCTGGCTGGAATAACTTTAGTAGTGAAGTGTAAACTGAGCTCTTATCTCTGAAGCTGTACCTGAGTCAAAACACACACACACACACACACACACACACACACACACACACACACACCTTTATTAAAGAGCTGACGGAGAACCCGTTCAATGTGACTCTATTAGTGGAGGTAAAAGCATGTTCTAATCAACCGGGGATTGGCCTTGTGACTGTTGGGGGACAGATCCCAGATCAGTTTATCCAGCAGGATGGAGGGCATTTCCTCTACTCATTACCTTTGAAGAAACCCTGTGAAACATTAGCAAAGAGTCCAGCTCCATGCTATCAGACTATGGGCTGGATTTCACTTTACAAGTGTAAGGTTTTTGCAGAAAACAAAGGGCTGGACCCAAATGCAGGGAGACACGGGAAACAGAGGGTTGGATAATTGTGGGTTTAATTGTAACAAAAAAAGTATTCAACACAAAAACGTGTGAATCACAAGTCCATGAAAATAAAACATCCAAAGAAATAGGGAACACGGCAAAGGGGAGCAGACACGAAACATACCGGGAGGACATGGAAGACGGACCAGGTTACACCAAAGACGAATGAACACTGAGCCAAGGGACACACAGGGCTTAGATACACAGGGAAGGTGCAGGTGATTAGACACAGCAGATTTCAATTAAGGGCGGGGCAGACAATCACGAGAGGAACAGACAGGGGCAGAAAGTGAAGTGAAGCAGACTGAGCAGGTGCAGGTGATTGAACACAGCAGTGTCTAATTAGGGGAAGGGCAGACCCTCACAGGGGTACGACAGACAAAGGCAGGAAATAAAGTGCACGACACAGAACATCTCAATAAAACAATAAATAGCTAAATCACAACATAAATCGTGACAAGTGTCAAAGACAAATCACCTCATTCACTCACTGTATACATGAAGACATGTGTTCAATGACACACTGGGGAAAAGATCACAAAGTGATAATGCCATAAACAGCTGAACATCAAAGTAATATCCCATCATACTGATAAGGCTTTGAACCAAAATTCAAGTTCAGTGCAACGTCATTTTGATGTCTTGCCATGACAACGTACTTTGTGCCGGTGTTTTAAGAGTGGAACGAGTTAAACGAACAGAAGCCTACGATGTTGAGTGGAAAAACATTTTTTAATCTCAAATTTAAAACTACTATTCAGCAACTCAAATGCTAAAGAGGGGCCATTGAGCAGTCAGAGATGTGGGGTGATTGTAGACTCGTCTGTTCTGGGAGCACGAGTAGCACGTTTTACATTAGCTACTAGCTACTAGCTAAAGGGTGACTTGTGCTTGCAGAATCCACGAGGGTTAAGAGTGTCTGCGAGTGACATTATGGACACACAGAGAAGGCTGGAAGAAGTGCTGTTCGCTATTTTTAATCGATTTAGAACAGCCTCAGTCTCCATTGTTCTTATTATTACTATTTGGTTCCAGTCATACGGCTGACAGCGGCTTTAGTCCCGCCAACGGCACCGATTGGCTGACTGTTAGTACCCCTATGGTACCTGTACCCCCTACCAGCTGTGCTCAGGGGCCGAGCTACAAGTAAACAACAACAACATCATATATCAAGGGGACACACCACAACAACAGCATTGGGTTCATGCACTGGTTACTGTTGACAATAAGAATCATAATGCTTCCAAAACATGTCGTCTGTTTGCGTCTCTAGTTTTCTCCTAAATTCACCAAAAGTTACCATTACATATTATATATGTATATAATATACAAAATAATCGTCTTAATGTCAGTGATCAACTGGTGAAGTTTCATGGTGATATCTATTAGTTAATGTTTTGACCCTATTCACCTGTTGTGTCTTCTAAATGTCTGTAATGTAACTAAACATCTCTTTAAGGTTGTTTTCTCTGAATGAGTTTGTTCTCAGACTCTGATCCAGAAATCTCCACTTCAGCAGCTCTTACATACATTTCATTCCTCTCTATACTCTGAAGCTTTCTACAGAGGAGTTTGTTCACATATCATTCATTCATTAGACTGATTTATACATTTTATTAATAAAAACATGGAGAAAATAGATTTTTTTTATGGCTGTGAACATTATTTTGATACAATGATATATCCAAATTCCCCTCAATAAAAACCATTGACTATAATGTGTATACAAAATAAATCAATGTTCAGATTTCTGTTCTGGAAATGCATGCAAATGAGCAAATATTTAAAGATTTTGTCTACTTTGCATATCTAAACATACTTTTTCAACTTGACTAAGCAAAGAAAAATCTCATTAACTTGGTAAATGTATTGACGTTAATGAATGAAGGTCATTCTGTTCTCCTATGAGCTCAATAACCTACCTTATGTGGCTGAAATGATATTTGTACAACAAATAATCACATGCAGGATTTCATAACATGGCAGTGTCATGTTGTCCAGATAAAAAATAACTTAAATAAAGTCACAATTACCAATTTTCTATGACTTTAAGAACAATGCTATGAAGTGATTTGAACCGTTTAAACAGTCGGTCCTACCTTCCGAGCTCTTTGCCGGGGATGATGGTGTAGTGGTCGCTGAAAGGCTCGCTGCTGATGCTGGTCTGGATCTCGGACAACAAGCCGCTGATTCCGCAGCCACGGGTCGGTTCCGCAGCCGGACTGTGCTGGAGGCCGGTCCGGCTCCTCGAATCCCCGGCGCGTGGACATTCGGGGATCATGGCGTCGTTTTAACGTCAGTAAGTTAGTTAGTTAACGTTAGTTAGTTGTCAAACGTCCAGGAGAAAAGTTGAAGAAACAGCAACGCACTAACGGGGACACGACCGACCGAATGAGCGACAACTTTAAAACATTCGCGCGACAGAAAAGTGTCACTGTAGGGCGGGAAGGCACTTCAAAGCTTCCGCATAATTTACCTTTCTATTTAACACCGTCACTGACGAGCTCATTTTGATGTGGTCTGGTCTGCTGTCGGCTGCTCGGTAGTCAGCGGTCCTCTACTCGCTCCTCACTGACACACCGCTCCGGTGCTGCGCGTTCAGTAACCATGGGAGCTCGTGCTGATTGACAGACGGGCTGACCAATGGGGTGGAGCGTGGTGCTCTTTGCGATTTCAACATTATGGAGCAATATTTAATAAGAGTGGAATTATGAAATAGTAAATCACATGAATTAATTGTATAAAACTGCTATTAACAAATATATATTTTTTAATTATTTAAGAAATTATTAAAACAACTCATCGTGATGAGATTCAAAACGACCACAAACAGATGCAAAACTTTATAAAGAATTGTAAAACAAAAGAGATGTAAAACGACCACTACTAGGTGCAAAACAATACAAAGATGTTCAACGCGAACACACACAGATGTAAAACAATATAAATAATTGTAAAACAAAAAAGAGAGATGTAAAATGACCGTAAAGACAAACAAAAACGACCACAAAAAGCAAAACGATCAGAAATTAATGCAAAACTACTTTAAAAAAACAACAAATGATATAAAGAGATCTGCAAACATTCCAAAGTATAAAACGCCCACAGGGAGACATGTACGGACGCTTTAAGGTCCTTTCTGAGAATGCACTGATAGTGTTGTATTGTACTGTATTATATTATACCCTTTTTTCTAATATTTTGTTTACCTTAAAACTTCACAAACTAGTCATAAAATATGAAATGAAAACTACAGAATCTGCTTAACACACTGCAAATGAATAACAATTATAACATCCCACAATTATATAGATATATTATTATCATTAAACTGTATAACACATCACAGGGGTTTTATGAATCATTCGACACACAACTGTGAAGGGGGACATGGGCTCCTTCACATGGGCATGGGCTCCTTGTTCAATCCCAGTCCGCCCTGCCTGGAGTCAAACAGCTGGATTCCTTTAGATTAAAGATTACGGTTTATTAATACTTGTGTATTATTTTCACAAATTTGGCCCCCATTTAATTATAACTTTGTACTAATCAAAGCAATTGCTGAGGCCTAATGTAGATCTCACTGACAAGTGAGCTAGTATCAGCTCATGAGTGTCACAAGATGAGGCTGAATGCCCCAGAGTAAAATAGGTCAGTAGGTCATCTAAGATTTATTTTGCCAATGACATTCTCCCAAAAGTAATTAGAATGGATGCTCACCTTGAGCGGATGGCCACTCAGTTACCTTGTAATAAGCTCTTGTGATCATCCATGTCTTTCCTTGGTTTCATTCAGTAGAATATATCCACACAGTAACAGCAGCAGAGTAACAAAGTGACCGTTTTTATTGAGATTCATAAACAGTTGTATGGTGTGGTGGAGCGATAGCACAGCCTGAGTATTTAGCAACCCGTTCCGATTCAGAACTGTACCTTCCAACATTATGTACATGTGTTTAATCCACACACACAAAACAGGAAACAATACGCATGCTTCAGTGTCACCATCCATCCATCCATCCATCCATTCACATATTCCCTTTGTTAAATTCCCTTTCAAAAATAAATTAGACAAATAAATAGCTTGAAAAGACACAAACACCTCACCTTTGTGTAGACGCCCCACGATTCTTCACCTCTCCATAAGCGTATTTAAATATTTCTACAATAGCTGCTATCAATGCACTTACATATAAGTGTTATGGTAGTGTTGGTAACCAATTATTTTCCACAATAATGTGTTCAACATTATCAACCCAATAAAAACAAGACTTCCATACACAGTCTTTACATTTTCAACAAATTACATATAAAATTCTACTATTTTTATGGACGTCACTTGTCATAACTGTCTGAAACACAGAGTATTTTCTGGATACATGCAGCTCAATGACAGAGAGACATGGAAGAAAAAATCCAGAAAACATTGACAGAACCTCAGTAATGAACCAGACAATGTGACCACAGAGAGTGGTGGATAGAACAGAGAAATATGAATGGAAACAGACACAGACCAGCGAGCTTAATAGATAATAGAAAAGACACACGTATCAAAACTTAAAGGCTTCAAAAATGAAGGCAAACTCTTCTGATCATATCGTCAAACAAATAAAAGAAATAACACAAACAAACAAAATATTCAAGGAAAGCTTCGGGACTTCCCCTTACTTATAAATACAATACAGTATAAATAACAGTACAAAAGATTGTAGAAAAAAAAGAGAGGGAAGATGCAACATAATCACAGCCTTGTCCTTGTGGTTGTAGAGATGCGTGGATAAGGCCTCGTCACTGCCTAGGATGACTGTAGTACTACTCATCTGACTAAATATATCTATATATATATATAGATATATTTATGGTATCTTTATATATATATATATATATATATATATACACCGTATATATATATATATATTTATAGACTTCTGCAAGAATTTAACGGTAAAATCCTGTATTTCTGTTGCTGAGATCGCACCCCCATTGTGATAGCTTCTGTAGTTCACGAGCAAATAAAGCACCATTTGGGTCTTTCAAATGAAAACAATAAAAATGTGACCTTTGAACCAGGGTCAAAGGTTCTGCTGTGGTCAAACATGTGGTCGTGTGTCAGAATCTTCAGAGGTCGCATTTATCTGTTCCCTACACCCAACTAGTCCTTCAGGGGCTGGATCCTATCCCAGCATGCATTGGGTGAATAACCTATAATATAGGTTCTCAGTGTTAAAAGAGAGATGCTTTAACCCTCTGTAATTCAGGCCCTATATACACTTGGCATTTCAAGTGTATCATATCTTGTTCATATTGGATGATTCTGTGAAACCCAATATAAGTTCAATGACAATGTTAAAAACATTTTTTTTACATCCAATGGCAACATAAAAAAAAAATTTCGTACAATATCAACGCATGGCAACTACGGTATAGTTAAGGTTGGGGAAAGATTGTCGTCATGGCAAATAAACTGCAGTTAGCGTTGGTTACGGTTAGGTCACCAATGAGAGTCGGGTGTGTGATGCTAGTGGTGGCTAATGTAGCCTGGAGCCTCTAAGCCTTCTTTCTAACGGAATGCTCCTTGTTTGCATGTATACTTGGCTTGTTTGAGATCAGAGAGCTATCTTCCCAAGACGCATGAGGGGGCTTCATGTAAATGGGCTAGTCTCCAATGAACCTGACTCGTGTTTGACGCACACAAACACTGGGAGAACATGCAGAGGGTTTCCAAAAAGAACCAAGGCAAAATCTGAAGTGAGGACTTTCCTCTTGTCAGGCTCAAGTACTAACGAGTGAGCGCCACAACCCCACGTGAGGCACAGCTCCATTACTGGACCAGAGATGGAGATGAGGGGCTGGGAATGCTGAGGGTTCACTGCGGTCGGTCACTGTCTAAAAGAACACGGTAGACTGTGGAACACATCGGAGTACAGGTCTTAACTATTGCATATATTACACTGTTTTGTCCAAGGGCCCCTGTGCACATCACAGGTATATACCAAGAGGACCGGATCAGGGAGCCGATCTGTTGATCCCAGGTCCTTGGAGACCTACATGCTGCATTGCTGTTTGAGACAGTACGGGGTTTGAGATACTAAAGTACCTGCACCGTGCAAAGATGGTGAAGGTACACAGTCATGAGTTCATCAGTGGAGGACTTGAACAAGAGTACAAGCATCTCCCATTCACAAAGGATTCATGGAAAGTCTCCTTTGCAGGCTGGAGACAGTGTCCATTCTTTGTCGTCAAGGAATCATGAACTACGGGTATGCCAGGTTCGGCATGATTGCCCTCGGTCTCCACGGACGGAATCCCAGAAGCCCTTGTGTTGGAATCGATGGCTACTTTGATAGAGGAGACATGACATCGTTGTCTATGCTTTTGAAAGCATAACAGAGCCAGAAAGCTTGGAGAGACCATTGGAGTTCTGTGTCAGTAACAGTGTAGCCCATTCAGAGGACATGAAAAGGTCTACGCTCAGCTGCTGTCCTCACTTTGGACTGAACTAGAGGGAGGCAGAGAACGGGATGGTGCAGGTCCAGATCTAGGCCTTCCTGGACCAATACTTGTTGAGTATCCGAACTGGACAAAGTATTCTGATGGTCCTTGAGTCTGTGCCTACCCATTAGAACCACCTATTTAAAGGGATATACCACACCCTTCACCTGGATTGGCTCTTGGTGTACTGTATCTGAATTAAACCAGAGGCCGATTGTTTTTGAAGTATCCCTATATTACTCGTTCCCCAGTCCCAGTCGGCCAGACAACCTGTATTTCTAAGCAAAAGAAAGACTTTTAGCACTTCTCTTGTATCTCTGCTCGTCAGGGAGCAGAGAAGACATTGACATTGACATAAATAAACTTCATTGCTATAGGTATCTGAGAGTATAACAAGATAATATATATGGTTGGCTTAACTATTATAGACATTGATGCATCCCTCCAGTGGTTGAGCTCCTGTTTCCCCAGTAAATAATTTTCATAATCTCATAGAAAACCTACCCATGTCCCTCAGGGATCAGATTTGGACTCTATTTTCTTTTTAATTTACAAGACTCTTCCTGGAGTCATTGCATTATCTTTAAACGTATATATTTTTGCCTTCACATTGAGATGTTTCTGCCAATAAAACATAGTGATCATAGAGCTGTAGCCTATCTTCTTAATCACCATGCAAAGTGCATGATTCTTTAACTGCCATCGTTTTCCATGATTTTTTGAACTCAAAACCCAAATGCTAAGTGGACTAGAAAAAGTAATCCATCCTTCTATCTCCTGCTGCTTAGACTTCTGCCGATCTGCATGTTTTTGTCTGTTGTCTTAATGTGCAGCTCTGCCTGGAGCCAGTAGACAGGATCTATATAATTCAAGCATTACATTGGTAGTTTTAGGTTTGATTGTAAGGTTCTTCTGATCACCCCTGAGGCATTCAAAGGGCTGGTTTCTGGCACAAAGCTACATCACATTTATTTAATTCTTTATGTGCCAGATCCCAGACTCAGGCAGGTTCCTACTGGCGCCCCACAGTCCTGATAAAAAATATAATGATCCTTGCAGGCTCTCCAGATTAAAGACCAGACAGAATTGTTCCTTTGGCATCAGGGCTACCAGAGTTTGCATCCATCTGAGGAGCTTTCTTTAAAATCTGCATTCCACTTTGAACCACTTCTTTAAAGCCACGTTTATAGATTCTTCTGAACTTGTTTGTAGTATTTCTGTTTCCATTTAATGTGTGTCTTAGTCTCTGTCTATAATTCTAATACTTTTCTTTCTGACTTTATTCGTTTTTTCCTCCTTGTCTTTACGGTATAAGAGCACACCATAGGTTTTAGTCATTCATTACATTATCACTTAAATCCTTGCTGCGAATTCAGATTGTTAACTGAGTAGTACGAATATATCTAAAGATAAATTCCAACAAGTTGTCAGGTATGTAGCGGTCATAGTTTTTGTATTAGATTGTATGTAAAGTAATTTTTTTCAGTGCTATTTTGCAGCTATATTTTGACTGTAAGTGCTGGGTGCTGTCATAAAGATCCTCGTAGCTAACTGAGAGACTAACACACAGTACCATAACAGTGACATATATCCACATGACCAAAAACTTTGTCGAGTACAATCCAGGTATCTTTACGACGTATAAATCCAACGAGATTTCACATGTTTTAGCCCAGCCGGCGTCCCACAGAGAGGGATGTTGTCCTTGTGGGGCTCACTCCAGGCCAAACGTGCTGGTTTCCTCCACAGCGATGAGCAGTTTCTCATACAGCATGGTGTATGAGGGGTATGGAGGCAGGTCCAGACGGTTGAAACAGGTGTGAGCCCTGAGAGAGAGAGAGAGACACAGGTGAACTGTTAAGAGTGTGGAGAGTCAAGGCTAGAGGAGAATATCTGAAGCTCACATCACACTTTACAACTCACATGTATTTAGGAGGATCAAGGACAACAACAGAAAACATGTCAGAAAATATACATTTTTTATTTATGCAAAAAAGGTTCTTCAATACTGTGGTATAAGCACCTGGAATGAGACATTTTCAGCATATCATATCTGCATACAGTTTTTCCCTTGTATACAACGATGCTTTTATTGTCTCCTGACGATTAAAGTAATTGCTGCATAAAAACAGACATATCACAAAGAGACACTTAAAGGAATATTTAATCTTGCTTTCTTGCCGAGAGTTCGATGAGAAGATCAGTCTTGTGTCTGTAACATGGGGTTCGAAATTGATATACAAATGGTCATTTTGTGGGTGAAGTATTCCTTTAAGTCATACATTCTGGGCTGCTTGTGGACATGGGCAGATGCCAATATTTGCGTCACACAGATCCACACAGCCAGGCAGATGTAGAAACTAAAAATAGGACATGTGGACACTTTAACATTTATAGGTACACACTTGACCTGTCTGATATCATGACCGTGAATCTCAACGTACAGGTTCCCTGTGGAGTTTCTGACCTCTTGTAGCACAATGAAACTGCTTTATTTTGTCTTGTGCACGGGGACACACAAAAATACTAACGCAGGGTGTCAGGAAACACAGTCCTACCAATGATATCACACTACTCTACCAATCACAGTAGGCCGTAACAAAAGGCAGAGACTGTAAGCAATGCTGCATTCACAATACTGGAAAGACAGTTATTCAGAACGGTTTGTCAGACCTCAGCGACCTAGCTGTGTTTTGCTGCACAGGGCACCTCTAAAGTGAGCCCATGTATTAGTTGTGAAACAGCGCCCCCTGTGGCCTCATGTGACAATTACAAGCTAATGGTTAATGCTAAAAAAGAATGCAGTAGCAGCAGTAGAGAAGTGTTCGAAAGTCAGCAAACAGTCTTTGTAATGTCCAGTACACAGTAAGTTTTGTTTTAATGTTATTTCTGCTTTAAAATAAGTGTTATTTCACTTTAAAACCACCTCAACACAAACACACATGCAGACACACCTCCACACCCTCCAGACCTGCTGTCATTAGTAGCCCTGCAGTATATGAGCAGATAATGAAGCTCCCACCGTCCACGTAGTTGAGCTCTGGCCCTTTTCCCGCTCTGCAGTGAAACCCGAGCCCCGCTCTTTGTTTCTAATGAGCGCGCTCACGTTTTAACCGCTGTTTACTAAATGAAGGTCCTGCTGGAAGGTCAGACGAACACACCTTGCACAATATCACATCTACTTGAAATACAGAGGAGTGGAAGTACCACAAATACTGTAGCTGCTCTGCTGAGCCCAAGCATTGCAGCCAACTGATGAGGGCAGTTCACATCAGAGCATTTCACACTGCGTGTTAAGCTTCTGGTGATGAAATAATATACACTGAACTAAAGTGATGGTTCATTTATAGGTGGTAAGCAGATTTATTTACCTCACCAGCCACCACGACCTTTAGAGCGAAAGGAAGGACTTTGGACCTGTTCATATTACTGGTCCAAAGTGCTACGTACGGTACAAACCTGCAGGGACTAAAGGCCGAAAGTATTGTTGCTTTGCATGCAAAAATACAGAGGTGACATTTTGGGAAAATTTCCAACATGTTCTCACTCCAAACCCGTTAAACACGGCAGCATGGTCAGTGGCCCCAAGCTTCAAACTATGAGCTTTAGGTTCCCGTCTGGCCAGTTTTAAACATGTCAGAGACGACGTGTCAAGTTTCAGCTGGTTACATGCACAGTGTCTTTTTTCTAAATAAACTTTGACAAACAGTGGTCCCCCGGGTGAAAGTCCCGAATCTGTTTGACCCGTCCACCCTGACCTCCTCTCTATGGTGACTTTATACTGATTGTTTAAAAAGCCAGGGTTGGTAAAAAAATGTCTTTGTTATATTTGTTGAAATTCTCCTGGCAGCAATCAATAAATAAAATGCTCTGACAAAAAAAGCCAACAATCCCGTTCTGTGGCTGTCACAGGACTGCGATGAGCTCATCCAATCACCTTGGGCCTGCACTAAGTGATTGAACCGAGCCCTCTGATGAGTGTGAGGGGTGGAGCAGGCAGCAGGTCCATTGACTTGAAGGAACAAAGTGATGAGAGCTGAACAGCTTAAACAAGGCTTTACAGGACACCGCTTCAGATACCTGGGTAGTGATGTGACTTTGCCCCACTTCTCGATACAGAAGCGCCGCAGGCCGTTGGATCCCCGCAGTGCGGTGAAGCCTTCGTAGGGCACGCTGGACGTCCCGGTGACGAACTGCAGCAGGCGGAGGCGCTGCTCGTTGTTGAACCGCTCCACAGCAGCCCAGAACCAGCGCATCACTATGTGGCCGTCATGGTAACCTGGTGATGGAGTCAGGGAGACAACATGTGACAGAATAAGCATAGAGAGGCTAGTATTGACCAGTTCTGTTAATAATGCATATGGTGTGTAACAAGAAACTGATGTAATTTGTCATTAAAAGAAACTATAAAAGGTCAATTGTGGTGTTTTGGAAAACAGGGAACGGTTTGGTTTATATACTCTTTTCACACTTATTCAAGGACACATTAGACCAGCACTGTAGTCCAGTACTGTGAAGGTTGGTTCTAAGATCTCAGTGGAATGAAACACAGACTAAATCCAGATGTGCTCTGGCTGATCTGATCACTTTTTCTGATCCATATTATATCCATATATGGACAAACTAAAAAAATCAAAGTGCTAGGGGCGTAAAGATTACCGGATACCATTCATAAAATCGCCAAAAAATGAGCATCGCTAGCTTAGTCTGCTTAGCATCCCTCTGCTACACTAATATAGCAGCTAGCTGAGTACAGATGGAGGGAACACAGTCTATGGTACATTGTCAGCACAGCATCCGTGTATACAGTCTATGGGTTTTACACACACACACACACACACACACACACACACACACACACACACACACACACACACACACACACCTCCTCTGTACTCGGTGTTGCTCCTCCAGTCAATGAGGTCGATCTCGACTGTACCGGCGATCACCAGCTCCAGCTCCCGCGCATCAAACACAGACACCAGCCTGGAGTCCACCACCTGGGACGGAGAGATAAGCACATGTTTCTGTTCAGCTGTGTGGGCGCACTCAAGTGTATTATGATGTATGCAGTCTATATGAACTATTATAGTATATATACTATGCATTTTATAGTCACATAGTGGAGTCTTTGGAGGTGTTGACATGTGTGAAAGTGTTCCACTGTGGATTATGATTTAGGACTTGTTATCTTATTGTCTTATTGTTTAATATATGACTCCCTACAGCTGGTTACAGAAGGCCTATGACCTCATTGGTCTATTTATAAATGAGGGTTCTTAACTAATGTTAACCTTACAGTGATGTTGTTGAAAGCATCTGATGGTGCTATGAACCAAACAGCCTTGTTTACCTCGTAGAAGCCTCTGACCATCGCCTCCGTCTGCTGCACCACTCCTCTCTCCACCCTCCACTTGGCCATTCGCTCGATGTAGTCCTTCTTGTTCTTCTCAGTCACCTGGAGGTTGGAGCCGCCCGACTTCAGCTCCCGCTCAGTCACCTGGCAAGCCAAGAGGCAGCGTGTAGAAAGCTCGTCATTGTGGGAACAAACATACATTCCAGATTAACAATACTGTGTATGTCACACGCGCTGACCTGGCCGAAGACCTCCTCGTTGACGGTGAAGGTGAGGTCCAGGATGTCAGTGATGTCGTTGTCTTTCATCCACTGCAGAGACTGGTGGAACTCCTCGTCCAGATACTCCAGATCAGACAGGTCTGTGGACCTGAAGGGACACACGGAGCTCACACATAAAACGACTGAACACAATGCCAGCACGCTGCACAATCCTTGTGTCAATTCATCTCTGAGTGGTTACAGTTGCAGATGAATTAATCCAAAATTGACCACAGAATCCAAACGTGAATTGATTCAAACTGTTCGGGATTAGTTTCCCGAACAGTTTGATCTACAACTCCTGCTCGTCACGTCACAGTGATTGGATGTTCCTTCAGGATATTCACTGTAGCAGATGGAGTTGATCCTTAGTGCTGTACCTTTTGACTTTAAATCAAAGAACCAGATGTTTTCTGACACAGTTAACCGGGAGTGTATCATGTCTAACGAAGCCTTAAAGAGACAGTCACCTAACATCGTCTATGCAGAAAAAAAACGTGTATTCACTTCACAGCTGACGTTGCGTTTTTCAGAAGTGCACACTGTCAGAGTGTGTGTGTCTGCAGAAGAACAAACATATAGTGTGTGTACTCACAGTCGGAGCAGGGCCTTGTAGAAGGGTCTGGTGAAGAAAGCATCCAGCAGGTACTGATGGATCAGAGCCAGGCCCAGGATACGCCCACTGAAGCGGAACCTGGACACACACACACACACACACACGCACACACACACACACACACACACACACACACACACGGGACATTAGAACCAACAACAGCATCAGTTAAACACAACTTTGACACATGAACTAGTAAAATGAGGGACGGGCCTGATACTAATACAGTATTCTCTAAATTAAATTTTCTTCTTTTCTGAATGTCACTGTTGACGCCAATGTCAGGCTGCTAAAGGGAGTGAAACTAATATGCCATCACATTTGTATGCAAACATTGTCTACAATATCAGTATTTTTAGCAAAACACATAATCATTGGCCCATAATGGCTACACAGTCAGTAATCTGCAGAAAACCTGCAATTCTTCAAACAGTACAATCTTTCTTTCTTTAATAAAGTGCCAGCAGCTATAAAAAAACAACTCATTCTATATATCAACCTTATTATACCGTCACCTCCAATCAATAAGGTATTTGTGTTGTTTGATGACATTTGAGTGTCAAAAGACCCATCTTAAAATGATGTATTTATGAAACGCATGAAAAATGTGGTGTGAAAGACCGACTGAACAGACTTCTCTACGGAAGCCCAGAGACTCAAGTGAGAAAATGAGTGTGATCTAAACTTCTCTCCTGGGTTTATGGCTTAAAAACAGGTGGAAGAAAAGTTTGCCAGGTGGTGGATTCATTATTTTTGTTAGGAACGTTTGAATTGTTTGTTGTTGTGATACTCATTGCAACCACAAGAGGCTGAAGTGCACCTCTACCCCACGTTCTCAAAAGGACTGAAGGCATTCATGTTTTCTTCCAGGTGAGTTTGAATTCCTCCATGCACTCTTCATTTATTGTGTTAACATTAAGTTATGTAACATTACCGTCATGTTTGTCCTTTGGCCAGAAATGCATTTAATAAGTGCTTTACGTCCTATTTAGAACATGGGGTGGAGGTGAACTTCAGCCTCTTGTGGCCAAAATAAGTATTACAACAACAAACACCGGTTTTCACAGATAAAAAAAAAAAAGAAAAAAGAAAACTAAGAAAGATGATTTTTCAACCTGCTCTCAAGACACAAACACAAAGAATTTCAATCAGACCTAGAAAATGATCACCAGACTTTTGCTTTCTCACTTTTCCCCTCAGGGCTTCTGTACTAAGTCATGTTACTCCATCGTGTGTTCACAGTGTTCTGGGTTTTCATTAAGCTGACTACAGTAAATCAATAAATACATAAACTTTTCCAGCTGGATATCAGCTGGTTTGTTGGTAAATTTGAGAAATTGTACAATCACAAACGTAATGAACAGTTAGCGCCAAACTTGCAGTATTGTTCAATAAACACTGATTCACTAGGTGTGTGTGTATAATAATAATAATGCATTTTATTTGTATAGCGCTTTAAAAGGTACTCAAAGACGCTTTACATGTGTGTGTCACTGTGTGTGACTGTGTTTGTATTGCACAGCTTACCATTCCAGGTGGTTCTCAACGAATGCTGACATGGGGCTGATTTGAACGGTGTAGGTATCGTTAGCTGAGTATTCAAACAGACCGTAGTACGGATTAAACAGCTCCTGAGACAAAAGGAAGAAGAACTCTCTGGACGGACCACTGTAGTCCAATCTGAGGAGACAAGACAGAGAGGGAACATCTTTACACATTTGGTTCATGGTATGCTATACAGCTCTGGTAGCGGCAGAGACCTGTCAATCACAGTAGACCCGCCCTAAAGCATACCCTGCTTTATGGTCTGTTTGACTCTAAATGGACCATAATGTACTAAATGAACATCATGCTGTATTGAAGAAGACTTGAAACTAGAGATTGAGACCATAAACTCATGTTTACAATGTTTACTGAGGTAATAAATCAAGAGAGAAGTAGAGTCATCTTCTCATAGACTTCTATACAACCAGAGGAGTCGCCCCCTGGTGGACATTAGAGAGAATGCAAGTTTGAAGGCACTTTCACATTGGCTTCACTTTTCAGAACCGGAGGTTGCCGCCTGACAGCAGCTCATTGACTCCAAATCTCTTTGGCTGCTGCATATAGCCTCTTATATATAGAATGCTATAACAAACTACTTCACTTCCCTTAAGTCAGTGGTTCTCAAACTTTTTCTGTCGCACCCCACTTTGGAAGAAGAAAAATGTTCATGCCCCACCAAAATTGTAACAAAATGGTCCATGTTTAATTTTTATTGAAATAACATTTTGTGACTCCTCCGTCTGTGCCAAATAATAGAATAAAGAAAATTGCAATTACTTTTAAGTAAACCAGATTGCTCCATCAGACAAAAACAAATAAAATGTGCAATCACTTTGTTAGAACAATGCAAATAAAGTTATATCTGTGCAAAAAATAACGAATATCTGGCAAAAAATAGCTTATTGCAAATGGCTGCTATTAACCTGTTTTGCACTAAACATCTTTTCAAGATAACAATAAAGTGCAACCTGTGAAAAACTAAACAAAACAAGTTTCATACTATCCGCAGCTAGAGTTTTCAGACATAAAGCACAGACTGGTCTCTCATCTCCTACCGCGTTCACTGTGAAACCCAGAGCAAGATAGGCGTCATCATATTTCCTTCTTGGCTGCTTGCTGTTCGTCTCGGATGCATCGCTTGCGGTTGCTTTTCTGTTCCCGCCTGCCAAATGTCTCTTCATTTGGAACACTAAGCCACACATGTGAGTCGCCAAGGATCATGGCCGTCGCGCATGCGCAAGCGTAACCTGTTAATGGCGTAACGTAAACATTTACACGAAAGTACAGGCATTTCGCCATGTATTTATTAATTACTTAAATTAAAAAAAAAAAAAAAAAAAGATTCTGCATTTCCCCCTGCGCCCCACCTGTAATACCACCGCGCCCCACTAGAGGGGCGCGCCCCACAGTTTGAGAACCACTGCCTTAAGTCATCAGGTGGATAGCTTACAGGAACAGCACCACTCAATGTAAACTGTGTATGTTTCTGCCTTGCTAACTTATAACACTAACAAGGTTAAGTAAGTGAGCTAAGCTGTGCTCCCTCCGTGTGTGTCCACTGTCTATCATGTCTGTTGCTCTGCAATGCACTCACACTGGAGTTAAGTTAGAGCCTCCGTCCCCTCTTCAGGAAAACACTGTTAGCTCCGTCAGCACTGTTGCTGTTGTTTGCACTGTTCACGCCGTTTGCACCGTTAGCTGCTAGCCGCCAGCTAATCTGTCCACCATGTTGAGAGTCCAGTGGAGGCAGTCCCTGCCGAGGATTTGGTGGCATCTGGTGCTGTGGTTGCAGATAGCTGCTAACTGAATACCCCCCCACTCACTGCTGTCACGTAAACTGCTGAATGCAAAACCGTGGTAACGCCGTACGCCTCGCTCAGAGCCATCCATACCATAATAACACTACGGAGCAACACAAGCCAGTATTTGACGCCCTGGGATTGAGCCCAAGCTGTGTGTAGATATGAAGAGCTCCTTCTGAGGCAACGAAAACACAACGATTCTTAGTTTCAGGAGATTATACATTAATGAACTATGGTTGTGAATATTGTATTCCATTTCTACAGATAGATCCCCAGAAATGCTGCACACTGGACCTTGTTGATATTGTAACCAGCAGTGAAAACAAGCATGTTGGCAAATTCAATTCAACACAAGTTTGAGCTTCAAAAGCTAGTTAGAACAGCATAAGATACCCTGCACTGTAACACATTGTGTGTGTGTGTGTGTGTGTGTGTGTGTCTCACCCCTCCTCTCCCAGGAAAGTGACATAGAGTTTGTTCCTCTGCAGCTCTTTGCGGGAGTATGCCATCACCTGGTTAAAGGTTCCCTCCAGCAAGTGTTCTCTCCTGATCAGCAACCTGCAACAACCAGGACAGCTCTCATGTTGCTGCTTCTATCCACATGCAGGGCACTGGATTCTTTCTTCACATCTTATATACTCAGCTGTTATTATTTTACAACCAGGTCAAGAATACAATTCTGTTGGGGAAATAGTTTGTTTCTATGTGTATTTGAACTGTAATTGATTCTATACTGGAACAGAGGGCATCACCTCATTGTTTTCAATGGCAGCTATGGCCCTGTCTCCATGGACAGAGCACATGCACTACAATAACAAGTCACACAATAGATATATCATAATTAACATGATGCACATCAACGATCATGTACTGCATGTGGGGCAGATTATGATCATGTGGTGTGAGCTGTGTCAGAACTGTGATCAGGATGTTTACGATCACATCCTCTGTAACTGCTACTATGGAATGGGAGAATATAGAAATACTGCATTAGAGCCGTCCACCTGCGATGATACAATAAATCGTTTCACATGTGTAATCCCAGTCTTACTTGATCTTTCCCGGGCCCTGCCCGTAGCCCTTGGCTTCCAATTTCCTGTAGAAGTTTCTCAGTTTGGCTTCAAAGTCTCTGCGGTAAGGAGCTGGAGCCCTCGCCCTCTGCAGGCCTGTACACACACACACACGCACACATGCACACACACACACACACACACACACACACACACACACACACACACAC